CATACTACACACACACACACACACACACACACACACACACACACACCACACATACACACACACCGCCCCAGTTAGGTGAACTTGGATTATCGATGGGTATCCAAAAGTCAGATGAACTCAGATTGCTGGATGATCACGGATGTGAACTGGAGAGCATTAGAAAGTGGATTTCTGCAGTGATGCCACTCAAACTCTCTGTCACGGAGTCAGCTCTGACCCTTGGGGCCTGCAGCATGGAACTGGGCTGTTCCTTTGGGTTTCTGAGGCTGTGAACCTTGGGGGAGCAGGTGACTTCGTCGTCCTCCCGTGGGGTGGAGGGCGGGCTTGGTTCTGGGGGCCCAGTGAGTGGTCACTTACGCTGCCAAGGCTCCCACTGCGTATACAGTTAGGTGAACATTTAATGTCTTAATGTTTGTTTTTCCTTTTCACCTGTTTTCAATCTGTTCTCATTTTTTATTATCTTCTTTCTTTTGAATTTAGGCTTTTTTCTGTGTGTGTTTTATTTGTTGTTGTTATAATCTTTTTAAAATGATTATATTTATATGACATCAAGGAAAGAGATAGAACCAAGATTAATAGTTTCTTAGCATTATGGCAGGGGAGACTGTGGGAGAAATGGGGAGCTCAAATTCAGGCTTTTTTCTGTGTGTGTTTTATTTGTTGTTGTTATAATCTTTTTAAAATGATTATATTTATATGACATCAAGGAAAGAGATAGAACCAAGATTAATAGTTTCTTAGCATTATGGCAGGGGAGACTGTGGGAGAAATGGGGAGCTAAAATTCACTGTGGTGATGACCGAGCAACTACTTAATATATTTAAATCATTTAATTGTATAGTATATGAATTATATGTCAATTAAACTATTTTTTAATGTTGGGTGAAAATTCATAAATTAATAAATATGGCACACAAATGAGAAATACTAAATAAAAAGTATAAATCATTTCGATAATAAAGAATAATCATTCACATACTTGGAGAAGTTAAAGCATTCCCAACTATTCAAATAATAATAAACTCAAGGAGTAATTAAGAAGAAAAACAATTTATGAATATGCTTTGTAATTCAAATATCCTATGTGCATTTCACATCATATTGTCACAGAATATATGGAACATTTTAAGGAAAAAATTTAAAAATTCAAATTTAACCTCATTATCTTTGATAATGATGTATTAAATATACTTTTGATTGTGATAAAATTTATTTACTCACTTTAAAACATCAAATGTCTTTTCAAAGCGCTTCTTTTCTTCTTCTTTTACTTTTAATTCCTCATTCAAGTTATTTATTTTGGCTTGAAAAACAGATGCTTTACTCCTAGTGTCATATATTTCTTTAAAAATTGTTGAGCGTTTTACCTGAAAAATAAATTGAGTGCTTTTACTTTTCATTTTAAATATTTAGATTTTCAAATCCTTGTATTTTACGTACACAAATATGCTGACTTTGGAAGCAATTAAAAGTAAGTCCTTTGCCTTAACAAGTAAAGAATGTCTACTTTGACCATTGTGCTTTTGAGGCCAACAATATGGGAACAGAAAGCTCTGGTGGCAGAGTGTGACTTGTTTGGCTGCCAACTACAAGGTCAGCAGTTTGAAACCACCAGCCAGTCTGTGTAAGAAAGCTGAGTCTTTCTTCTCTTATGCAGTTACATTCTCAGAAACCCTCAGGGGCAGTTCCCCACTGTCTGATAGGGTCACTGTGAGTCACAATGGACTTGATAGCAGTGAACTTGAGGGATATACATACATATATATATCATATTAATATATATGTATTAATCAAATGGACAACGGCCCCTCACATGGGTAGGAATTTAGAGTGCAAGGAGTTGGTGCTAATGGGGGAGAAACAATTCCAAAAAGGAGAGAAAGAATAGTTGCATCAATCAAAGAATGTAATCAATGTCACCAAATTATGCTTGCAGAAACTGTTGGATTGATGTATATTCTGCTGTGTATGTTCCCAATAATAACAGCCATAGCAACAAAAATAAATGAATTACATATATATGTATATACATATATGTATATACATATATATGTATAAATGTAAAGAATTAAGTTTCGACAAGAAATAAAAACTATACCAATACTTTAAAAAAGTAAATCATACCTCCTCTTGAATATATGCACCAAATTAGTTATATTTTATTCCCCAATATTAAATCTGTTGTGATTTTTAAGAGATAGGTTTGAATTATTTACTCATTTTCTATCTCTGTCTCTGTCTCGCCCTCATTTGCCCTCTCTCTGTCTCTCTCTCCTTTACAAACTGGCCCTCCAAGCCACAAACACATACATGCATATCTTGAAAGCATGTAATTCTAAGATGCTAACGTGGCAGCTGTTTCTGAAACATGTACATAGGTAGGGAGGCAAGGGCATATGTTAATCTGATCTTTCATACAAAAGAAGTCAATATTTAATGCCAGCATAATCCCCCAAAACTGGCCTGTGCAATTCCAGATTGAGTATCTGATGCTGCATCTATGTTTACATGGTCCCTTCATGACGACTGGAGTTTATATTGATGGACTGATTGACTGACCCGGTGTTGCATCCAACATCAATTACTGATTCCAATTAGTGATACTCATCCAACAAGTCCACAGAACTCCATAGCTATCTTTCCCTACAGCTTTCTTTTCCTCTAAGAGATATAGAATAATAAATCTTCCACCGGATTTATTTTCTCATAAAACATTTGCTTTTTGTCAAAATTGTTAGACGTTGGATATAGTATCTGAAATGTATATTCTCTGTTTTCTTTCTTTTTCTGGATGTTCTAACTTTTTTTTTTTAACAAAAGAAGTGAGATGTTGCATATTTTTGGTGCGATGAGAAATACAACTTTCCTCTAGTTCCTAAATGTTTCCTCCCCGCTCCCACTACCATGACTCGAATTCGACCTTGCAAGTCTGGCTAGACCAGAGGATGTACACTGGTACAGATAGGAACTGAAAATACAGGGAATCCAGGGCGGATGAGCCCTACAGGACCAGTGGTGTGAGTGACGAAACAGGGAGGGTAAAGGGAGAGTGGGTAGGAAGGAGGGAACCGATTACAAGGAACTATATGTGACCTCCTCCCTGGGGGACAGACAACCGAAAACTGGGTGAAGGGAGACGTTGGACAGGGCAAGATATGACAAAATACCAATTTATAAACTATCAAGGGCTCATGAGGGAGGGGGGAGCGGGGAGGGAGGGGGAAAAATGAGGACCTAATGTCGGGGGTTTAAGTGGAGAGAAAATGTTTTGAGAATGATGTACAAATGTGCTTTACACAATTGATGTGTGTATGGATTGAGATAACAGTTGTATGAGCCCCTAATAAAATGTTTAAAAAAATAAAACAATTAAAACAACAACAAAATAGTAGCGTTGGCGTGTTTTTGGTGAAGGCTACACAGTAGCGTGGGTTCTCATGTAATTCTCTCTGTACATGTTACCCAGTGACCAGGACTCCATTCCTCGTGGTGAGTTTGAAGGAAGAATGTTGTTGCCTCTTGCAGGTTGGTGATGAATACGGACCTGCTTGGGGACCCAAGAACTACACTGAAATCTTTTGATGGATGATAAAGGTCACCAGAGCAAAACGAAATCGAGCCATAAAAACAGTGTATTGACAATCTGATAATCTTGTGTTATGTCTGTTGGTTTGTCTTGTTCTCGACCCTGGATGACATAGGTTTCAGTAATGTAAAGGCCATCCACCCCACGCTACTTGTCACATCTGGACTAGGAAGACTTCGGGAATCGGAACTACATTGCCTTATTACACTGTGGAGCATCCCCACCCCAGTGATTTGATTTTTCAAAAATTTCAGACCTTCTATTTAAAAGCATGCTAGGTAATAAAATTATATTTTAAAAGATCTATTGCAGATGATATGTTCCATTTGATAATTTTGCTTTATATCATCTAAGTGGAATCACCTCAGGTTCTACACCTATGATTAAAAATGGGATTAAAAACTGCATCGTCTGTACATCAACCAGCATGATTGTTCAAGGGTTGCTGTCAGGTGGGTGCTGGTGAGGCCATGGAGTCCTCCCATGGTTCTTGGTAATGTGAGCACTCCAAGGTCTTCAAGGGCTGTGGTCTTTCAGGAGAACACCCCCAAGCCTTTCTTCTAAAGCACCTCGAGGTAAATTCTGCACAAGACTTAATTAAAGTGTTGCAGAGTAAAGATGTCATTTGGGGGACTAAGGTACACCTGACCCAACCCACGGTATTTCAGTTGCCTCATATGGACTTGAAAGTGGGACACTGACTAAGAAAGCCTGAGGAAGAACCGAGGCATTTGAATTATGGTGCTGGTGAGGTCTATTAACAGCACCGTGAACTGCCTAAGGAACCAAGGGCTCAATGGAAAGTAAATGTCTAGAGAATAATGATGGAATCCTATGTACAAAGATGCTTGCTACAGTTGATGCATGGATTGTTATAAGAGCTGTAATAGCCCCCGATAAATTGATCTTTTAATTAAAAAAAATTTAAGTTAAAAGGATAAAATTCTCAGAATAGGTTTCCATACTCTCTAGCTTCCTATCCTAAATATATCAATTGCAGTATTTAAAGTTTGTTAATTCTTAAAGTTGTAAGAAGTGAAAAATGCATGTAAGTGTGTAAGACCTACTTAAATAGTCAATTAAGATTCCATGATCACCTACTATGTAGCAGGTACAGTCTGGACACTTTCACACACATCAACTCTTATAAAAAAACGTACTTATAACTAAAATATATCTGCCTCTTCAATTAGAAAAAAAAGGACGGGGGAAAGAACAAGCAAAGCTGTCCTGGAGAAAGTACAGCCAAACTGCCCCATAGAAGCAAAGATGGTGAGACTGGCTCCCGTACATTGAGCATTTTCTCAAAAGGGACCAGTCCCTGGAGAAGAACATCATGCTTGGTAAAGCTGGTCATGAAAAAGAGGCCACCTCACAGTGACATGGATTGACACACTGGCTATAAGACCAAACTCAAATATAACAACAATTGTGAGGATGGTGCACAAGCAGCCAGGATTTCATTCTGCTGCACGGAGGTTCCCTCGGAGGTTAGGCCAGCTCGACACTGCCGCCTAACACCACGAGGAGACCTGTGGTCGCAGCAATGGGGGGACGGGGGTCCCTTCCATTGGCTTAGTAAGGTGCTTTCTGAGAACATACACTTACTCATAACTCATTTACGTGTCAAGATTTATGTTTATTTTTTACCTCTTTAATGATATTGTTAAATCTGCTACAATATCAAAATGAATATGATGATGATATGATAATGGCTTCAAGAATATTCTTTCTAGTGTTATGGATATTTACATAAAATGTGATCATCAGACTTTTTTCCTCCATTTTCTTTGGAGCTCTACAGATATTATAACAATCCATAATTCAATGAGATCAATCATGATTGTAAAATTGTTGCCATCATCATTTTCAAAACATTTTCTTTCTTCTTGCACTCTGGTATCAGCTCCCCTTTATCCCTGCCCTCCCCCACCCTACCCCCCAAGTACCCCCTTGTTATTATATTAAATATTATTATTATTGCTGTTACCCTTTTATCCCCCATGTCTTACACCATCCAATGCATGTGTTCACCTGCCCTTCTGTTATGCATTCCCCTCCAGTGGGATTATATAGTCATCATTGCTCTCAGTTCCCCCTTCCCTTTCTGTCCCTCACTTCTCTTTCTGTACCCTCAGGGAATTTTTACTCCCATTACAATTCCTGAAGGGCTTATCTAACTTGGTTTCATGCATCACACGATCTTAATTATATACATGAACTTATGCAGGTCTAATAGGATTAATGAGGTAAAACTAAGACCATAATAATTAGGGGGGGTGTCCAGATATTAAAAAACTCATGGAAAATTATGTGTTTCAACAGTGCTATAATGTACCCTGGATGTATCATCCTTCCATTTGGCCTTTATGTGAGGGACTGTCTCATTACCTTACAGGTGGTTTTGGGGTCTCCACTTTGTCTATGCTCTTTTACGTCAATTTGGTTACTTGTTTTTAAAATTCTGATACCCAGTCCCATTGACACCTCTTGATCATGCAGGCTGGTGTACTTCTTCCATGTGGACTTTGTTGCTTTCCTGATAGTTGGCCGCTTGTTTAACTTCAAGCCTTTAAGACCCCAGACACGTATCTTTTCATACCTTGGCACTATCAGCTTTCTTCACCACGTTGGCTTATGTACCCATTGTATCTTCAGCGATCGTATCAGGAAGGTGAGCATCATACATTGCCACTTATGAGAACAAATTGTTCTTGTTGTGAGCTAAGACTAACATAGAGACCCAAAGTCCATTCACTGACCATCAGTCATGTTTTAAAGTGATTATTTCTTTGTGGGTTAAACATCAGATACATGTAATATTTTAATAAAACATTTTATCCACTGAATGAAAACATAACCATGCTATTTTTCTTAAGGACAAATTTAAGTTCTTTTCCCTTCCTTTCGTCTCCTTTCCTCCCTCACTTCACTCCTTCTCTCTCTGCTTTTCCCTTCTCTTCCAATTCCTCGCCCTCCTTTTTCCTTCCTTTCTTCCTTCTTTTCTTATTTCCTACATCAAGCTCCAAGCAATAGGAATCAACATGACAACTGTAGATAGCATTCGACTTCACCATGACTATGTTATCAGTATTGTTTTGTATTGTACCTTGGGTCAGAGATATGCCAATGACAAACTGGGCCAAACTAGAAGAAACAGTGAGAGGAAAAAAACAGAGATGGTGTGTGTGTGTGTGTGTGTGTGTGTGTGTGTGTGTGTGTGTGCAGAACCAATTAAAATGAGAGCCATCTGCCTAAAATGCAATTTGCTTGAATTATTTTCATTAACATGAAGAAATTGAAAATTACTTTTGATATTGTATCTCTTACCTCTGTTTCTGTTAGGGCATTACGGGTTTGCTTCTCCTTCATTTCCAATTTTTTCTTTGTTTTTTCCACATTTCTTCTAATAAAATTTTTCTTCTCAAGTATTTTATTAATCACCTAAAAGATTTTCAGATATTATATGTAACACTTAAAATCCCACTCATTTTTAAAGCAACAAGTATGCAAACAATTTTTGTGTCCGATGGCTTTTTTTTAAGTGTTTTTGGTCCTTCACCCACATACCATACAATTCTATAGTTCAACCATATCAAGAAGAGTTGTAAACCTTCATCACAATCAAGTTAAGAACATTTTCTTTTCCCCTGTATTCATTGTTCTTTATGTAATTTTGGGGGGTTAGTTTTCACAAAAACACACAAAACATTCACCAATTCATAAACTTCTACATATATATATTTCAGTGCCATTGATTATACTCTTTGTTATACAACTATTGTTATCCTTCTCCAAACTGTTCCCCCAAACTTTTTAAATATTTAACAACATATTTGGGCAATATGAATTGAGGGGCCGGGGGTAACACGTGAATTTCAAAAACACACAATGATCTGTGAAACCCTAGTCTTCTATTTGAATCATACTGAGTCTATGATTTCTAAGTCTATAATATCATACTGAGAAAAAAATATCATACTGAGTCAATTTTGTTAACTAACAAAAACGAATTGACTCACATATTACTGCTATCAAGTTGATGCTGACGCACGGTGACCATAAAGGGTAGCGTGGAAAAGCCCATGAGGTTTCCAAGGGAACAAACCTTTGCAGAAGCTGACTGCCGCATCTTTCCCCGTAGACACTATAAAGTTCCACCACGATATTAAAAATATTTAACCAAAATTAAAAGCCTAAGGATGACTTATCAGCAACGAATATTAAAAAGTGTATTCAAGTCCTTTCTTTCTGAAAGTATATATTAATTTGATTAACTATCAAATAGAATAAAACCAAAAACAATTACTAAAGCAAGTAGAAAACAAAAGCTATTATAAAACAAGGCGAAGTCAAGTCATTAATCTCTTCTGGAGTTCATTATCATCCTCAGACAATTACATTAAAGCTTTTGATACAATTAATAACACTCTGTCATTAATCTAAGGGGGCTGTCTTTAAAAACATGTATCCCACCAGGTGTTAGTACTGGGTATATATTCATCACATAAGCAATCAGATAGCACTCAGAAGGCCAAAATCACCTAACCAGTTGAGGGTCAGGTGTCCTCACGTCTATAATACAGGTAAACTTCCACCTGCCAGTTACATAGAAAGGGTTTCAAAATCAAAATAAAATATGGTAATAGGAATACTTCAAAAAATCGCAAGCTATTTGTAAGTGGACGAGATCTGACATTGTGGAAGTCTAGTATGGTAGAACTGTACCATCATTTTCAATGGTCATGGGGTGGGGAATGCAAACTCTGTTGCCAATGGCCCAAATCAATATATGTACATCCTTGTTGCGGCTAAGGATAAGAATGGATAATACTCACCACACCCTCCAGTTTTTATAAAGACTAATGACATGATAGACGCCTATTTTACCCACTGAATTTTTCTTTGGGAAGGGCTAATGATATCAGTTACTGCCAAAAACTTGTTGTTTTATAAATACTTTACTCATGTGTGCTGTATTTTTCACCATAGCTGTTGTACCTTTTTCTAAATACATCAGAAATTTATGATGAAAATGTCAAGATATATTATGTTTTCTATTTAGGTAAGAAAAAAAAACTCCACTACATTTCATTAACTAACAGTGAAGTCTTTGAGTAAAGTTTCCTGCAGTGGGCATGATAACTGTTTGTCCTGTATCAGCCCAGGACCGGATTCTGGATAATAGCATGGGACAGTCCCACAGTGTAGTTCGACTGTGGATCAGTTCATGGCCCTGGAATGGTTACTTACTTCATCCAAGCTTGCATCTCTTCCTATGTGAAATCAAAATTTTCCAAATAATAATAACATTACATGCAAGATTTGCCTACCTAACTCTTTCTGCTTGTCTGTGGATTCATTTATAAATGCTTACATCAGCATGATGGCGATGGATGTTCTTGATCCTGGTGAACTCTTCTTCAAGTTCTAGCAGTGGCTCCTCCACCTTTTCCAGTGCAAGGATATAGATTATTTTCTTATCTAGAAGTGACTGCTTCTCTTGTGCCTGGATGTCTTGAATATGATACATTTTTTTCTGACAACAGAGATAATGACTCATTTAGTTTTTAATGATTGAAACATTTATTGAGCCCCTACATTGTGGTAGGCCATAATCTTGGGTGTTATTAGAATATCAATTGATGTCACTATAAAAAATAATGGGTAACAATATAGTGTATTTAAGCAGCACCTATCTGTTGTTTCAAGGAATGAGAGGGAAAAGAAAAGGAAAATTAAAATCAAGCATTTACATATGAGTTTTTGGAGTAAACTCAGGTTAGAGAATATACACACAAAATATACTAAAATACACAGAATACTCGCAGAGTTAGAACAAATAAACCATGAGTAGGAGGTGAATAATAAGTTGGTAGACAACAGCCACAACAAAAAGGCTGGGTGGGCTATGAAATTATTGCATAAATGTGAATAGTAATGAATATGTGGGAATCTTCCAACATCTAGAATCAGAAAAGCACTGCTTCAAGATTTGAAAATACTGAATTTCCTAACAGTGAAAGAGAAAAAATGATTTTTCTTTCCTTCAAAGAGGACCACAAGTGCAGAAATAGTTCAGAAAACACATTTTTTAACCACTGCTTCTGGATGCTACTCTTCTTATAGTAACAATAACATCACATGTACATTGTTCCCGAGTGCCATCAAATCTATTCCGACTCATGGTGGCCTGATGTGACAGAGTGGGAATGCCCACCTTGCATTTCTAGGCTTCTTTATAGAAGCAGACTGCCAGGTCTTTCTCGTGCAGAGCTGCGGGGAGGACAGGTGTCTTAAAGACTTACCTAGGGCCCGGAAAACAAACAAATAAACAAACCCAACATGCTGTGTTTGCAAAGGATATGCAGAAATAAATTTTTTTTTTTAACTCACTGCCATTGAGTCATTTCTGATAGTGAGCTTATAGGACTGAGTAGCACAGTCCCTTGGGCGTTCCAAGGTTGTAAATATTTACTGGGTTTGAAACCCTCATCTTTCTCCTTCAGAGGGGCCGAGAGTTTCGAAGTGCTGACCTGGCAAGCGCCCAAGGTGTCACCCCACTATGGCACCAGCATGAGTGCTGGAGATCACTCTTTGACCCCGGTGCTCCGTGGCAGCATGATCCATCTGTCTGTGCCTGTAAACAATGGACAGTCTCTGAAACCCCAAGGGGCAGGTCTATGCTGACTGACCGGGTCCCTCTGCATCGGAATCGACTGGCTGTGAGGAGCAACTTAAGAAGCAAAGCATGAGGAAGATTATCTTTAATCCACCTCTCATGCTTTCATTTCAAAATCTTGATAAGGAAATATCTCATAGCATATCTTCTTCCAGGGTTAAATAAAGAGATTCAAGGGAGAGGCGCTAAAAGTAAAGAAAACATAACATCATCACAAAGCAAACTAAAGAGTTAGACACTTAGGAATAAGATCTCCCTGCCCTTTCACTAGACTGGCAGAAATTCCCATTAAGCCACAGAATGAGATATGTGTATGGAGGTCAGTTTCTTTATGCATGATCAGACACTGCTAGTTGTACACAGAGGGCAACTGTCATCAGCTCAGGAAAGAAAACTGCTGGCTTGCAAAGCAAGTAGTGAAAAGATGCCTCATTACAGGCAAATTTAAAATGCTAAGTAAAATGCAAATTAAAGGAAGAATAAAATATTGAAAGGAAATGAGTATTACCTGAATCTGTAATGCAGTAGCCACTTCATTTCGAATGAGCCTCTTCAAGAAATCTTCTCTACCCTACAGATTATCAAATTTAAAAGAAAATGAGAGTTTAGTTTACAGGAAATCAGAAAATAAGTTAAGGACAATTGCTAATACAATATACATTTTACATAGGTTAGAACAGAAAGTAAAAACCAATGCATTACAAATTAACTATTGGAAAACAAGGTGGGGGAAGTCTGTTATTGGAAACAAAGCCTCGACGTGACAGACGAGAAGGTAAAAGTAGAATTGTATCCGATTTAGTTTGTACTTGTAGTCCTGAACTGAAAAAAAAAAAAAAAAAGCAGTGGGGAAAAAACAAGAAAGAATGCAGAAAGGAAAGAATGGATAGTCTTTCAATTCCTCTAATTAAACTCTTACCAAATTTTAAACTATTATTTTCCAGAAAAAAAACCCTCAACTTTACAATTAAGACATAAATTCATCGATGAAGTTTATGCAACTTATTGAGATTCTCCACTTGACCACAGCAATTCATTCATTTATAAGCATCACTTGAGAGTTAATGGGTAAAAATATTTGGGAAAAAATATTCTGCTTCAGGATAAATAATCTTAAACTACTCACCATATGCCTTAAACTTCCACACTAATTAGCATTGGTAGTAGTTCATAAAGCATTTTTCTGCTTTGGAAGTATATTTCACATTTACTTGAAAACATGCTTCTCATTTGAGATTGCACTTGGCTAAGTTTAGACTGCCTTCCTCATTGGGAAGAGCGTTGTAAATGTGCAAGAAGGAACAGAGGTCCCGCAACCTCTTTCATAACGAAAACCTCCATCATCGCCTAGCATCCCTAACAATACATGGAATCAAGTTGGTAAGTTTCCCCTTGGCTCTTCCTCTGCTTTACTGCAATCCATCAGAATCATACTCTCCAGAAGCAAACAAATAACTCAAAAGAAAAACAGGGGGAGCAGTGTAGCAGTGATGAAACATATAACTTTCCTCTAGTTCTTGAATGCTTCCTCCCCCCAACTATCATGATCCCAATTCTACCTTACAAATCCAGCTGGACTGGAGGATGTACACTGGTACAGATGGGAACTGGAAACACAGGAAATTCAGGATAGATGAACCCCTTGGGTCCAGTGGTGATAATGGTGATGCCGGGAGGGTGGAGTAGAAAAGGGGAACCGATTACAAGGATCTACATATAACCTCCTCCCTGGGGGATGGACAACAGAAAAGTGGGTGAAGGGAGATGTCAGACAGTGTAAAATATGAGAAAATAATAATAATTTATAAATCATCAAGGGTTTGTGAAGGAGGGAAGAGCAGGGAGGGAGGGAAAAATGAGGAGCTGACACCAGGGGGCTGAGTGGAAAGTGGATGTTTTGAGAATGATGATGGCAGCAAATGTGCAGATGTGCTTGATACAATGGATGGATGGATGGATTGTGAGAAGCATTGTATGAAGCACCCAATAAAATGATTAAAAGAAGAAGAACAGGATCCTGTAGTAGTTACAAAATCTCATGTCAATTTGAGGATTAAGAGTGTAGGCGTGGAATCTGGCCTGTCAATCAAGATATAGCCAATGAGGCCTCTGTATGGGTGTGGCCTTCTCAAGAGGATTCTGGAAATTCCTGTATTCCTCCTTAGAGGCAGGAGACACTCTCTCTGGACTCACTCCCTTGGAGACTCTCCACTGACAAGGCTCACTCCCTGGGAGACAAAGCAGCTGACAAGACACATGGAACTACCCTAGTGCCCTGAGCTGGAGCAGCCACATGGAGACCTCTGCCAGCACTGAGATGCTTACAATGCCACTGGATCCACAAGACTTCCCACCCACTGGCCTGTGATATTCCTACATTCAGCATCATTGCATGTGTTTCATGAGTCTGAAGAGGGCTTTATAGATTGGTACTGGACATATGTGATTTGGACTTATGGATTTTATCTGCACTGGGCTGGGATTTTTTCTCAATATTCAACTGCTCTTGTACACAAAGCTCTTTCCTACACACATATGCAGGTCTCTATGAATTTGTTTCCCTAGTCTACCCAGGCTAACACAGATGCTACCCAGTGCTGCACCATATTGCACAAATAAATGGACTCAAGTCACTGCCTTTAGATTAATTAATATTGTACACGAGTGTGTGAGTTTAAGGCTAAAATACTGTGGACAGGTTATAAGAAATTGTAATAAAATAGATAAATAGTGTTAGGTTCCAAGTGGTTCCCTTGTATTACACTGCAGAGAAGGAAAATAGTTCATTTGGAAATCTGTGTATCGATACAAAACCAAACCAACTGTTGCCAATGGACAAATATGGGCTCTCTGTGTGCAGGGGCAGAGGCTGGAATGCTGGGGCTTCTCTCTAGCATCTGAGCGAACTTTTCCAGGCTCTCTTTCCTACCATGCCACCAAACCTCTGTGACTCAGAGAGCAAGATCCCATGCTCGGTCACAGCAACAGAAGGGACCTGTCCTTGGGTGGACTCCTAATGCCCATGCCCACCTTAGCAGAAATATGGTGACAGGGATTGTTTTGAATGACATGCTCAAACTCTTGCTGTGATATTATCCTTTTTATTCAAAATATACTTGGGCCACCATGGCCCGGGCAAAAGTTCAGAAGCTATAAACTTCCTCAGACTACTCAACTACTTCAGCCTTCAAAATACCCAAAAATGCACTAAGGGCATATATTGAACTAATTCAAAGTCCTTCCGCTGAAGTGGAAAGCAACTTCTGCTCCTTATAAAGCAGTTGCTGGAGTCTGATATTCAGGATATTGTTTGGAATGTGCTATAAACTCCTGTGGGGATAGGGAAGGAAACAGGAGAGGGAAGAGAGAAACTGGGAGTGTGCTACAACCCCAACAACGTCACTGAACCCCATAGGGAGTGCTGGAACAAGAATGGACTTTCAGATGTATCTCAAAGGGGCCCAAGGTAGCAAGGCTAGATTCCTAGATTGATCAGTCACTGAATATGCATTAATCCCAGAAGGGAAGTACCTTTTAACAAGGTGCCTTAAAGGAAGCAATTCCTTAAGGAGAATCTAGGCAACTGGAGGGCTCTCTTAATGACAATGGCACTGTTATTACAACGCATGGTGATGATTTAGAAATATAGTACTTGCTATGTAGAATTTTCCTTGTTTTAACTTCAGTGAAATCTATGAAATTGACATTATTGTTCCTTTTTTTCCACATGGGAAAACTAAAATACAGAGGTTACATAAATGGCACAAATACACAAAGTTAGGAACTGATGGAGGCAGTAATGCACAAAACCTGTTGCAAGTTCAGGGACCTACGCTATTGGCTTATGATCTCAGTGGCCCCTAGCGCCCAAGCACTGTTCAATGTGAATAGGGATCTTTGGTCCAGAGCCTTGTGACTCTCATGTTCCCCCTCTCCTAACACAGTCCAATGATGTTTCCATGAGGCTTCTGGGCAACTAAGATACCTCTTTCAATGCTGTAACTGAGAAACGACACCAGAGGTTGAGGACCTAATGGAGACGTGTTACAGAGGCGCCAATCGGCTAACGATGCTCTGGAATCGGTTTTGCAGGATAAGAGCATGGGGAGGATGCCACCTTTTCACCACGTACTATGGATCTGTAGCTGCTGGGAGCAGAACCAGAATTCCACGACTGCACACTACAAGGTGGCAGGCAATACAGATGTTAGGGGGTAAAGAAGAGTTTAGTGAGATAATGATTGCCCCATCTTCTGCCATCGAATCGATGCGGACGCATAGCGATCCCATGTAACAGAACAGAAGTGGATAGAACTGCCCGTCTGAATTCCAGAGACTGTAACTGCTTACTGGAGTAGAAAGCCCTCACTTTCTCCCACAGATTGGATGGTGGTTTCAAACTGCCGACTTGGTCGATCACACCCCAATGCATTATGTCCAAAACACTTACTGTCAGTTTAGTCAATTTTAGAAAATATATAGTCTCTATAAATTGAAATAGACTGAACTGTTTATATATGTATATGTATGTATATATATGTGTGTGTGTGTATATATATGTATGTATGTATATATATGTGTGTGTGTGTATATATGTATGTGTATATATATATGTGTGTGTGTGTATATATGTATGTATGTATGTATGTATATATGTGTGTGTGTGTATATATGTATATATATAATGTATATATATGCCTTGCTGCCATCAAGTCCATTCTGAATCACAGGGACTGTATAGGACAGTGTAGAACTGCTTCTGTGGATTTCCAAGACACAACGCATTAAGAGAGTAGAAAGACTTGTCTTACTCCCCTGGAGCAGCTGGTGATTTTGAACTTAGGACCTTGCAGTTATCTAGCGGCCCAATGTGTAACCCATGACACCACCAGGCTCCCAAAAACCTTCTTGGTTTAATAAGTGCCATTCTGAGAATTTGTTTGTTAAATCCGATGTACTTTGTTAAGATGTTTTATACAGTATGGTAGAGATTGATCAAATAATCTAGTGAGCAAATGCATTCATGAATCACAAATAATCTTTGATATCTCAGTTGGAGATTCACACTACAAAAAATTAGGATTCTTCCAAATTCATATAAATATGAATATTCATCAACCTTCTGGGCTATTGGGCTGCTAACTGCAAGGTCAGCAGTTCCAAACCATCAGTCACTCTGTATGACAAAGATGAGGTTTTCTATGCCAGTAAAGAGTTCCAGTTTCAGAAACCCAGAGGGGTCATTCTACCCTGATCTATAGGGTCGCTATGGGTTGGAATCATCAACTCAATGGCCATGAGAATGAGTCAGTTTATATAATACAAAATTCAGGGCCATAATCACACAGGTTCTCACTCTTAGTAGTATCTTGAAGGTGGATAGTAAACTGAGCCCTAAGGGAGGTTTCTCCTGAGATGTGGAGAAATGGAAAGGGCAGTGGCAAGGTGGGAGGGCAGACCCCAGTCCTGCATAGAACACAGCACCAAGTGAGAGCTGAAGTGCCCGTCCCAAGAAGAGCTGCCAGTAGCCCTTCTGTGCCAGGATTTTTAAATCGTCACTTAACAATAGGA